TAAGATCATTAGTTCAACCCCACCCTCTATCGCTTATTTTTGGGAATTATTTATAAGATTTTTTTATAGATTATTTAAGGTGTTTTTGGCTATAAAATACCTTAAATAATGCTGATTAATTTTTTATGGGATTATTTAAAATGTTTTTTGCTAGAAAATACCTTAAATAATCCCATTCAATTTTTTGTAAAAAATTATTTAAGGTGTTTTCTGGCCAAAATGTCTTAAATAATCCTCAAAAAAATTAAATAAGATTATTTAAGGTGTTTTTCATGGCAAAAGCCATTAATTACAATATAAAAAAAATTTTAGCAGCAAAAACTTACAACTGACTTACAGTCACTTCCAGACATGCTTTTCAAAATGGTAACAATTATTTCATAATTTTTTATTTGATCAAATTTATAAATAATGCAACTTTTTCTCCTGAAATCCTAGAATATCATAGGGAGAGATGGATTTTTGATTTCAAGACTTTTTGTATTATTAAAAATCTGTCACTTTCTCCCGGAATCAAATTACCTTAAACCCAACATTGAAACCAAATACCCACAAACAAAATTTCAGAGAGAAATGCATGGATTCCCCTGAATCAAACATTCCTTAAATGCTTTCCCACTAACATGCTTGTCTCTCCATGTTTAATTGCCTAATAATGTGATGAAAGCCGGAACATGAGGATCAAAAGCACTATTCAACAAAATGGTGTTTGGTACTAGGGAAAAAGAAGTCTAGGAGAAGGATTTAAGAGCCACTATTTGATATTAAATTTAATAAAAATCAAAATTTGCAATTAAAATATGGGTTTAGTTTAGTTAGTACAATCATTTTTAAAAGATAATATTTAAAAGATCTAAATTTTAAATTTTAATACTTACAATTTCTTTTTCTACTTTAAGATTGTGATATCTTTTGTTTGAAAAAATTTAAAAAAAAAAACCAACAAATTCTCCACTAAGTAATTATAAACAAGTGGAGAGAAATATCACCGTTTTTATTCCAAAATGACGAACAACTTAAATGTTTTTAAAGAGTGATATATGCAACCCAAGAAAGCCAACCCCGAAAATAGGCTATACGAAGCTTGAGCCATACAAAGAACTGTGGTGAGTTGTCCAATATACATAAAATTTTAGGTTAAATTGTATTATAGATCTCTGTACTTTAGTCAAATAGTAAAATTAGTATTTCTATTTTAATATGTTCAAATTAAATCTTTATATTAATAAATTGTCAAATTCAATCAAATTGTTAATAGTTCAAAATTTTTCTATTAAAATTTATGATATGGCATTTTGACATGATATTTTTGTCTATGTGGTCATTGATTTTGCTAACATGTCAAGTTCACATGTCAAAATAATGAAGTAGCAAAAAAACTTTTTCCATATTAGTATTTTTCACATCAACTTTTATTAAATTATACTACTTGTCTTTGTACTTTGGTTAAATAGTGAAATTAATCTTCCGTTCTTAATGTCTAACAAATTTAATCCCTATATATTAATCAATTATCGAATTTAAGATTTGGCCTAAAATAAGTAAAATAAAACTAAAATAAAGCACAAAAAAATTTCAATACAAATAGGTTGGGTCATAACAGAGTCAATGCATGAGTCAACATACGCTAGACTTGTCTTCTAAAACGGCTCATTTCAACATGTTATAAAAACAAAAAATATTTTTTTTATTTTCCTTTTTACCCCTCTCTCATCCTTATTTTCCTTTTTTTTTTTCTTCAAATCTCATATAACAAACTCATATTTCAATGGATTTTCAATAACCAGTGATAAAAAAATTCAACAATCATAAAAAAATTTTGTCCCAAAAACTACCAATACCCAGAAATCGACCACCAACACCATTATTTTATATTGTCATCCAAAGCAAAACTGAGTATAATGCCCTAAAAATTTTAGACCTGAAACCTCTAAAAAGGAATTTCTCAATCAAAAAATTCTTCTAATTGTTTTTGTTGGTTGTCATTGTTTTTGTTGCATTTTCTTGTTGATTGCAGTTGAATTCTCAAAATTTTTTCAAATCAATTTTTTTAACAATTTTCATATTTTTCTTATTTTTTCAATTTTTGATTTTCTTTTTTTTTCTGACTTTGATTTTTTTTATTTTCACAAACTAAACAATAAAAATAAATAGTAAATAATAAATTAAACACTTTTGTACCTTTAAATTTGGGCTTAAAATTTAATTTCACAATTAAAGCTCAATTGATCCAAAAATAATTTTAGAATCCAATGTCAAAATGAAATTTGAAGGCCATTTAATAACAAAATTATTTTTGGACAAAATGGGATGCCTACAATTGCTTTTATAGTTGATTGTGTATTTAGACTTATTGGGCATGTTGATTATGGGTTTTCTAATCTAATATCTATTTTTTTGTCATTTTTTAAAGTTTTTTTTATCTATTTTTTATGTTTTTATATTTCAAAAATATTGAAAATAGAAATAAACAAAAAATCAAAATCAAAATAAATAAATAAATAAATAAAAGATAAAGAAAATATATAATTCAATTTATATTGGACTTATAATCTAATTTGAGATTAACCCAATTTATCAAATTAATCCAATTAATAATTCATATATCCAAAAAAATTTATCTAAATATGAAAAAATATTGTCACGGTTGAATTAATAATTTATGTTTTTTGTGTTATTTTAGGTTAAATTTTAAATTCGATAATTAATTGATGTATAAAGATCAAATTTAAACACATGTTGAGGTAGAATGATTAATTTCATTATTTAACCAAAGTATAGGAACAAGCAATACAATTTTAGAAAAATTGACATAAAAAAATATTGATGTCTCAAAAAATTTTATCATGTCATCATCTTTGATCACGTAGACTTGACACATAAACAAAGTTAATAACCACGTAAGCAAAATACCACGTGATAAAAAGTCAAAACATCACGTTATTAATTTTAACAATACAAATTTAAACCATTAATAATTTGATTAAATTCGATAATTAATTGAAATATAAGAATTTAATTTGAACACATTAAAATAAAAAAATTGATTTCACTATATAATTAAAATAAGAGATCTAGTATTAAATTTGACCTAAAATTTTACAATAGCATTTGGTATTTGTGATGTAACAATCTACAAAAACAGTGCAGTTGACTTTAGGCTTGTGGGCAAAAGAAGGGTAAAGCACCTCATCATGATTCCGTTGTTATTGGGTGGGGTGTGCACCATGACAATAGCTATAGCTATCTGATCTCTCACATGCCACATTTCCTACCCTCAAACCCCAACAATAAAAGCACACCTTCCCCTCTCCCCATTGTGCTGATCGAACACCCTTATCTCCTATCCATTAGGCAGAAAACATCAGCCATGGCTGCTCTTTGGTTCAAAACTTTTCTTCTGGTGTCTTTGGTCCTCCTAATCACTCCTTTCTCTTATGGTAATGAATAAATTAATACTCTATCAATTACTGTACACCCAATCGCTGATCAGAGTACTTTTTGTTGGCAGGCATGGTTGATGAGGGCTTTCAGGGTGACATGCAGGCTAAATACTCACTTGAACAGGTACTCACTAGCACAATCCCTCTCTTGAGTTTTGGTCATTTATATGCAAATGCAGATAAATAACATTTTACATACGTATAACATTATATATATATATATATATGGAAATGCTGTTGATTTTGATTGTTATTGTTGTGAAGGATGGTATTAATATGATCCAAATGAGTTCATCAAGGAAGTTGATGGTGATGGGTGCAATGATGGATTATGATGATGTAGGCGCTAATCCAAAGCACGATCCAAGGAAAAAACCTGCCAGGCCCTGATATATATACATATATATATATATATAATATATTAATATGAATAATATTTAAGTAGAAAGGATTATGGTTTTTTTTTTTTTGAATATGGGGTTATTAAATGAGTTTATTAGGGAGTAATAATAGTAATAATAGTATAGTACAAAACCCTAACTACTCAGTATTATTGTTGTATGATCCGGATGTGAAATTTTTGTTTCTATAATTTCCTTGCTATTGCCTGCCATAAGAATAAATAATGAAGTTTTCCTGCTTTTGTTATATATTTCAGTAGCAATTTATAAGGACGATAGCTAGAAAGGAAAAACAAATGAAAAGTTTTTACATCTTTCTTTTTTCAAAAAAAAAAAAGAAAAAAGAATAAGGCGGTAGGAATATATATAATTTGCATTCAATCATGTTGGTCTTGAAAAGATATAAGGAATGTTATCAACGTGGGTGGAATTATATACGTACTTATTGATGATGAAGTCATGGAATAATTTTGTACAAACATATCTACTTATTGATGAATTATTGTGTGGGTCAAAATTAATTCTAAATTAAAAAGGATGGATCATTGCAACAACAGCGAATCTACTGTTTCATTCCGATATCTAACCTTATTGTATTTATTAATTTATACTCAATCATGTCAAGAGCTCTCGGAACTTTCATGATTCAAAAAGTTGAATTTCATTAAAAATTTCTCAAATTAAAATTTTCAAAAAAAAAAAAAAAAAGGCTTTTGGATCTTGTGTCCAGTTTTTAGATACATTAGATGCGGCCAAAAACTAAAAAAGTAAGCGTGATATCTAGTCACTTATCAAGAGATGTTTCTTCTATACTTTTCATGTTTCTCCCTACCCCATTAATAATCCAATGTTTGACTACCTATTTATCTTCAATTACAGAAATTCTACTCAACAATTTTTTTCTCACCCTTTTATAGAATCCATTATGCACTGCAAAAAGGCATATAGATTAGTGCTTCGGCGGGCAGCCTAATCTCCACCAACATTATCGACTCATCAGAACCTTTTCATAATTAAATGATTTTCACGTTTATATGAATATTGTGAGGCAGATCAGTCACCTTTGAATTTTCTTTTTTTTTTTCTATATTAATTTAGGGTAGAATACCAGATGATCAAAATCTCCCCCAAATCAAAAAAGCATATCTTAATTATGATTATATGTTATGGATGAAATTTTATTCCAAAATTTCCTTTTTGTTTTCGATACTGCTATTGAGTTCAAGAGTGGAATTTGAAAGATATCATATAATTAAGCTATCAATCAGATTATAGGCATTGCCTCACCCTCGACTAACAATTTCCTTTGTTTCTGCTTCAGAATGCCATAGCATTGACAAAACTTCTGAACGGAAGAATTCATGGTAATTCTCTCATATTTCTACTTTCTTTCTAATCTGTGATAAACAACTTTTATCAGTTCAAACATGGTCAAGGCTATCACAGAAATCAAAGGTGCCAGAAAAATCTGTTAGGAATAAAGGAAATACGGTTAAAAATGATATACTAGCTATGTGATTTCTATTAGCTCGTATGTTCAGGCCCTGGTGTTTTCCCCATCAATAATATTCGGTATATACTACTGAATTTCAAAAACCAATACAAAGAAACAAAAGTAACTAAACATTAATTCTGAATTATTAAAAGTTGACTAGATCAATTTTAACAAAAGTGCTAGTCATATACGTTTTCATTCTACAGACAGTGAAATCTATATGCAACTGATCACTCAAAATCAAAAAGAAACCTGAGATGACAACCATATTCCAAGTGACACGATCCCAACCGTAGCTAAAGCTTGGCCAAATTCATACAGAAAACTTTGTCGCTGAAGTGGCAAACTCTGCCAGTCAGTATGCCTGTGTAAAGGTCAAACCAAGGGAACACAAAGTTAACAGAGACAGTATGATCCTTTTTTTAATAGAAATTACGTAAAGCCATAAACCAAAGACTGATCAGATGCACGTGAAAGCTAAGACAAGCAGATTCTGATATTGAAGATTATATAGGAATTTGAGCTATAGCTACTGTTTATGTCATTTCAGCTAGCAGCCACAATACACCATCAAATTGAGAAACAGGGAAAGTATTGGTAACAGTTAATTTAAGACTAATATCACCTGTATAACTAAGCATTAATTGCTTCTATAAAAAAAAAAAAAATCTAAGCATTATTTTTGCAGTAGAGGTTGATTTAAATAATCTGTCAGCTTAATTTAAACTCACAGCATATATAACAGCAATCATACTAGTAGAAACAGCCGCATACCCTAAATCAGCAATGATAATGCTGACGTTGTCTTGTGAGCCTTGATCCTGCATAGTATTATATGATTCTAAGGTTACTGGAACTTGTCCACAAACATATATAAGATGATTTGACAAATTACTATTGCAATTGATTACCAGAGCAGCTTGTGCAAGTGCATCGCATGCTACCTGAATCAGGAATAAGGGGAAAATTATAACTAAACCAAGGTAAGAATATCATCTGAGAGTTTATGTACAGAACTAGAAGACATGACATTGTTATTTGTGGTGATATTTCGTACAATGTAAAAGTCACCTGAACATCTCCGTGTTCTCGTAGTTGATTTCTGACAAAGGCAACTGCTTCAGAGCTGAAAGAAGAGAATAGTAGGTATGTCAGAGTGACATTCTTCTCTCAGTTAAACTCACAGCAAAATAATAAAACAATGACTTTTCATGTACAATAGTAAGAGTTAAAAGCATATATAGCTCCGAAAACCTCTTTATGTAATCCCATAAACCATCGGATGCCAACAGGACAAACTCTGCATCTGACCCAAGAGCTACTTTAAAGGTGTCTGGAGATGCAATGACCAAGTCTTCATTGAATACTACTCTGAAATAAAACCAACAATAATGGCCAAACAATCTTGTAAATTTGAAACACAGTTGAAATAAATCAAACAGCTATCTGACTTAATGCTAATTAAGGAAAATCACTTGAGCTAGATGTTACTCTAACTAAACTAAACTGCAAAGTATAAATCAAGGCTCAATGAACCCACATAAAAAGGGGGAAGATGAAGCTAAGAAAGGATCCATAGAAGATATACCGAGAAATAAATTTTTCGGACCATCTGCTCTCCTCAACTCCCTTCTTCAGCATTCTGAGCAAATGATGCCATACCGTTATCATTATGATGTAAACATACATTGTACAGAAAATATGTACAAACTATTATCAAAAAATCTTTAAATTGAAGGCAAGGAAAGAACCAAACTCATTTTTCTTTGTCTTGAACCGAATGTCACCAAAAGCACGGGATACAGCTATGTCACCACAAATCCTTCCATTGACAATCTGTATAACGACATTACATGAAAAAAATATATATTATGACTGGGGCCGGGTGATGTAAGCAAAACTTCTCTGAGGCGCTCGAATTTCTGATTAGGTCTTTTATACAATTAAAGATATAAGAACTCTCATTAGAAGTTAGAACTAAAAAGGATGAGTATTAGGAGTGCTGAAAAGAAAATCAAGAACAGAAAACACACCCATCCACCTGCTTCTCTGATTCTTCTAATTTCTTGCAAAGAGGCCTTGTTGCTCCCATAGGGTCGATGAGAATCAGTCAAGACTTCTACCTTTCCCGCACGAGATAGAACCTGCATCAATTTATCAGCAGACAAAAGAATGAAAAGTGATATAACCCTCAAAGAATAAAGGGTTGTTCTATCTAATTCCCAAAATGCTACTATTATACAGGAAATCCAGAAATTGTAGTCTTATATAAATCTTATGGTTTCGGATGTAAAACAGCTTTAGTACAAAAAGGAACTAGGAATAGGTGTTCGTACCACACAGGAATCACCAACATGAGAAATCAAGAGCACTTCATTGCCGATTAACATAACAGTGGCGGTTGAACCAGATTCATCGTCGCCCTCTCCAATCGTTTCAAGCCTTTACAAAATGAAACACCCGCTAATCCTTCAACCAATAATATACAAAAAAATCTATAATCATATTAAGACTACAAGATTAAATTAAAAGATTGTCAATATTTGTCAGTTCCAAAGCATATATCTATTTTGACTCACCAATTTAGCAACTTTTTATCAGCATTTTCGAAAGCCACTGTTAATGCTTTTTTAATTGCGTTGAAATCTCCTCCCTTCAACAGAATTCCACCTTGTAAAGCTGTAACACACTCTTTATACAGCTCATCTCTGCTTTAACCCAAAACATCTCAAATTAATTATATTTGCTAATAAAATCGCAATTGAAAATGCAAAAAAAAAAAAGTAGTAATTTGCATGTAATTATGAATTATCGTACCTGAGGAACTTGATGGAAGATACGCCACCATGACCATCAAACACAGCTGCGAACGAGAATCCATCAAGGCCGTCCGATCGTATGATTAGATCGTCCTCCATCTCCTCGCGAGTGCCCTGCACGCTCGTGGACCCCCAACGGATCCCCGCAACGTCGGTTAGCGAAGAAGGAGCGTCAATTGCGATTGCGGAGCACCGACAGGGGCTTCTGGCGCTTATGACCGTTGTGGTGGTTAGGTGGTTCCTGTTAGCGTTCTTGGTATTGGAGATGAAATTGAACTCGGTTGCGAGGAATCTCTGCAACTGTGGACTCGATAACGCCATTGATCCTAGTGACTCAGTGAGTTGAACCGCTGAGTCAAGGGGGACGAATTAGATATTGGAGTTTCGGTTTTGCAAGGATGAGAATCTCCTCGGTTAATGTGATGGTGTTTGGCGAAGAAGATAAGAGAGCGAAGTTAAGCCTCTAACTGCTTTAACGGATTGTATTCTATGGCTGGGATCTCCTACGGATTTTTCCCACTACACTTTGAGAATTCTTTTTTTTTTTTTTTTGGCAAATGCGGTTTTTATTTTGCCACGTCATTTCATATAGGACGCTATAAGTAATGTATAGATCTTGCACGTATATGTAAATATGTTATTTGTGTTTAATACATATAAGATATGTTTGACACATAAAATTATAATAAGATAAGATAAAATAATATTATAAAAAAATTAAATTGAATAATATTATCTTATCTTATATTGATATATATATAAAGATTAAAATAAAATAATTTATCTATTAATCAAAATTATCTTTCTTTAAAGTTTATATAATTTAAATTATTGATTTTTTAAGAGATATAATAAGATATATAGATTATGTTTGATACACAAGATTATGATAGAATAGAATAAGATGATATTATTAATAGGTTTAAATTATATAATGTTATTCTATCTTACGTTTGATATGTACAAGAATTAAAATAGAATAATTTGTTTATTGGTTAAAATTATCTTTATTAAAATTTATATAATTTAAATTATTAATATAATTTTAAGGATATAATAGAACATATAAGTTTAATCCTATTAATTAAAAATAATTTCTTCTACTTTAAAAAAATTGAATCCTCTTATACTAAAAGAATAATAATCTTCTTTATAATCATATTCATTTCAATTAAATACAAACTAAATATAATATAAAATGATTATCATACTATCTTATCCATCATCATATGCACTAAACATGATCTTAAGTTTAATTTCATAGATTAAAAATAATCATTTTCGAGAATTGAATTGTCTTATACTAAAAGAATTATTAATTTTTTTTATAATCTTATCTTTTTTTTAAAATACAAACAAATATAATATAAAATAATTATCATCATACCCTATTTATCGTTTTATGCACTAAGCATTACCTATAAAATAAAAAACTTGTTGTCATAATTTGTGTTAACATACCAAAGTCGAATTTTATTTTATCTTTTTGTTTTTATCAAACTAATATAAAATTTTTATTAAAATTTTAAGATACATTGGGTTTAAAATTACTAAAATATTATATATGTACATAGGTAATGCCATAACATTTACTTGTTAAATCATGGCAATAAGATATACACGAGTGAATACATTGATATTTAAGGAATATGTTTATATGTAAATAATTAATGAATTATTGCAGTCAAGCCATTTATATTAAGGGGATATATAACCTTAGCATGATTATAGCTGTAACCATGAATTGGTTTCAAAGAAATACACCAATGCATTAAATCCGAGGGAATGAATTTGCCAAAAGGAAGAAAATCTAGAATACAATGGATAATAGCGTAGCATTCAGCCTTTAATCTTTGAAAACTTTTATGTCGGTTCTTCCTTCAAATAAGTAGGTCCAGGCTTGAAAGGGTCAGGTTCAAAATATGCATCTGGCCGGTAGAACCCAAGATCATTGATACGGTTACTAAGTACATGAAGTATAGCTTTTTTTTCAAACCCATATTCATCCCGGTTACTTTCGACGTATTCTATGGCCTCAGCTGCTACATCATTTACAAAATCAAACCGGTTGTCCTCTGATTGCAACAGTCTCTCTATGTCCACCGACAACAGCTTTCCTCCTTCCCTTATCTTCCTAACCTGCTCCTCCAGGAAAGGAATCCGCTCCAGCTTGTACTGCAACATCTCATCCTTCTTTGTCTGCTTAAACAAAGAGAGACTAAATTTCCAATTCCGCATAAACATTGCAACTAAATTGCCTTGAGCATAATATTTGCATAACAATAACATATTTATACCGAAGCAAGGACCAAGGATAGACATAGCTCGAAATTTGTTTGGATAAGTGTAAGATCCCTTATTCAATCCTAAATACCGGACAATTTCCACAATATTCGAACATCTAAAACTTATACTAACATTTATTTATACTCAACTCCTTATTCATTCCAATTTTAGTGGAATGCAAGAAACAAGAAGCAGATTCAGAAATGCAAAGGAACTTATGTTGGTATAGGTTCCTTTCTTAAGATACAAAAATAGTTGTAAGAGGAATATTTCAGTCGTTATGCATTTAATAGAAGAACAAGGACTTGAATAACCCTTTATCCTACCAATTTCCAGAAATTTTGAATCAAAAAGAAAAAGAAGATGAAAAATAAAAGCTTGGTATATCCCACTGCAAGTTACTCAGTCAGTCTCTAAACTGTATTTCTAGCATGAAATTACACTATGTTCATAAATTTGCAAATCAGGAAACGAATGAATGTTCAACAACAATCAGTCTTCAACACCGAATTTGAATTGGATTAAACTTAAACAGGTTTCAACAGAGACATCAAACTTTTTTCTTGAAAAACTTTATCCCATAAATTCTCATAAAGAAAAGAGCAACCTCAACTAATCCAAGAAATCAAATAAAGAAATCCCAACTTTCAAACCAATCAAACGTTTCTTCAATCTTCAGCATTCATGTAATTAAAAATATTCATCTAAAAATTATCATATACACAAGAAAACAAAGAATTTATAAATAAAAAAGTAAATAAAACTTTATACCAATTTTCTCCGGCGCCAAACACGGCGACCACCACTCTCGCTTTGTAACCGGGAAACAACCTAAAAAAAAGAACTTATTTATCAGAAAAATAAAAACATTTTTTGGAAAATTAAATTCTATAAGTAAAATGGTTTCGGAATGCAAAACCCGTAAGCTTAAATTGGTATTGAGACGCCATGAATTAGTTCCTATTCTCGCCTGGGTCAGACCAAGAGAAAAAAATCCAACTTAATGGAACTAAAATTTAATTTAAAAAAGTAAATTATGAGAACAAAATTGGAATGTGGAAAATGGCTGAACCCTTTACCCTTTCAAGTAGAGGTGAAATTGATGAAGAAATGCAAGTTAGGTTGGAAATAGCAATCGCCATGGCCTTGCCCTGCACTTTCTCAAAAGCTCGAGCGAGGATGGTTTAGTATACCCTTAGACTATTTTTGAGGATAAAATAAAGGTTGAGGCCACTAGAGTCCCAAAAGTCCAAAACCTATAGAATTACCTTTTTCCTTTTTCCTATACGAGACTATATTGGTGGTTCTAGTCGCACCACATTTTTTTCCTTCATATTTTTTTAAATTACTTTTAAATAAAATTATTTAATTATTTTCTTTTTTAATTCTTTCTCATTTTTTAATTTTGAATTTGTAAATTCACAAAATTTTTAAAAGTTATTAAATTCATAAGCTTTTAAAGTTTTTTTCCAAATCATTTAAATAAAAAAAATTTAAAGACTCATGTGCCTAATATTTTTATCAATTTATAAATATATTTATAATTATTTAAAACAAATCATTTTTTATAATGTTATAAAAATTCTTCCAGAAATAAGATTATTTTTTCTCAACTGATTTTTTTTAAATTCTAAATGTAATTTATAATTTATAAAATTTACACATTCCGTAAATTATATAACTTACATGATTTATATTATATATTAAAAACTTTAAAATTGAAATGAAAAAAAATAATTAAGCAATTTTATCTAATAATAATTTTGAAAAAAAAAAAAGTGAGCATGTAAAGAAAAAAAATGAAAGGTGTTTAGACGAGTTCATTATATATAATTTGTTGATATTAATATTATTTATTTTTAATATTTAAATATTATCAAATACAAACAGAAAAATTAATTAAGAAACAGTAACAAAAAAAACAAGGGTAATTGAGATAAAAGTTACCGCCTGTTGAAGCCATTTTGTGATGAAACACCACAAGCAACATGATCGCGGTGAGGGGAGATATGTGCTTCCGGCAAAACAAACTTTGAACAACAGAAGAACTGCAGTCTTTCTTAATTCAGGAAAAAAGAAAAAAGACTTAGACAAGTGCTCCTGATTTACATTTACAATGCAGCTGTCTCACCCTTCCGAACAGTCTCAATCTAAAATAACAGCTAAGTAAAGACAAAAAAATCGTTTTGTGCCTACGTGACAGGGGACACCATCACACCAAGCCCCTTACACTCCAGAATCATACATCTGGAGAATCAGATTATGTAGAGAAAATCTTAACGACAATGTCGGCGTACAGACACCTGAATTCTAACCCACTTACTAGCAGTAGCTTAAGGTCCATCTTCTAATGCTGGCAATAAAAAAGATAAAGAGCCATGTGAGACACCAGTTTTACAAGAACAAGGGTGAAGGAATAGTCATACGAAGTACGCACAAACATTCTGATACATAGCGAAACTTACTGCTTAAAATAAAGCCTTGAAGCAAGCTCTGGGCTCTCTCAGACTGCTCTGGAGTACCTGATATTCTAATGATCTTTTGCGTGTCATCTGGTCTATCTTCTACCAGAGTTACATTGGCACCAGACAACTGTACCCATAATAGACAAGCCAAGAGATGAATGATTTGAAATCAGATTCAATCAAAGTAAACATAAATTAAATAGGTAGTTGAAAGAAGTGTTACCGACCTCACTGATCTGTGCCAATTTACTTTTCGATTTTGTTATGAGCTTGGGAACAGCGTGCTCTGGTATGACAACTTCAAGTGTACTCCTAGTAACGAGTGGCACAGGGATTCTAATAGAAAATTACAAGCAACACATGCATTATTTGTTAGAAGGGCTCTCTAAATACTGGAAAAAGATTGAAAGAACCTTTTTTCTAAAAATAGAAATTTTTTAAAAATTAATACTTAATAACAAAAGGCCATAGAGATTGTGATGCAACCTTCATTTTAAAAGATGACCAAATAAGAGTGAAATAACGCAAAACTTAGTCACCTGCTAATTGCACTTGGTATATCTTCAAGGCGTTCACTTTCGATCTGCCTGGCCACTTCAGTGCCAGAGTTCACAATTTCCTATAAATAAGAATTAACTTCTTATAATCATGTTCTTAGAATACAGAAGAAGGACCTGAGAAACTATCAAGATAAGTGACTAGTTTTATTTTTTTGACTTGGAGATAAGTCAATAGTTATAGATCACATTCAAGCTGTTCACCTTGTGCACAACCAAGAGCAGTCAAATATTTTCATCCTAAAAAGCTAAAGAAATAATTGATGTTGAGTTTGGAGAGCATATTTATTTTATTTTTTACTACATAAGCAACACAGAAAAAGAAATACTAACAATGAAAGTAAAAGAAAAGTCTAAATTAACGGAAAGGCAGCATAAGAACAACCTTTGATGATGATGGAGGTGTTGCCAAAGTTTGCACATTCTTATAGGCTCCAAAAGGAGGATCACTGGCAGTTTGACTATCTCGAGCTGGAGTTAAGTTTGGAGAAGCATTCTCCATTCCTGAAACAGTCCCAAGGAATGCTGTTGCAGAGACAGATGGTGATAATGCAGTGTCCTTCTGAGAGAATTCCCTATATAAGTAACTTCTTAATCGTGACGTGATCTCAACAAGAGCATCTCGAGCAGCCTTTATCTCCCCCACAATCTGTAGAGTATATCAAATGTAATTCAGAATATACAAGGTAAATCAATCCAATCATCCCACCCTCATTTATTAAACTTAACAGACCCCAGGTTTGAATCCTTCCAAACTGGACTGAATAAACACCAAGAAGCTAAGTTCTCCATGCTTCATAAGAATAAGGTATCTGAGCAGCAAACCTGTACAATCTCATCAGCTCCTGATACACAAGAAGGAAGTTCTTCTCTTGACAAGATCTGTATGTTTGCACCAGTTAATCTTTTCATTTCAGATAATGATCCACCCCTTCCCTCTAAACATCCAATTTCACTTGATGGAACAAGTAACCTAGTAGTTACGATGTTATCTTTATCAGGAACAAGGTCAACAATCTGGGTCTGGATATGCAATAAAGCCTCCTGAGCTGGAAACAACTCATCATCAGGACCCTAAGGACAAAAAACCAAAGATATGTTAGAAACACATATGACCATGCATCATTCAAAATTCAGAAGGAAAGGAACAATTTGTTTTTTAAATTTCTTTCAAGTGTTTAAACATTGTAAATGACAAGATTTAACTCAAAGACTAAAGTTAGATGGAAAAGAAAGAAAGAAAGAGCTTTATAGGCTTAACAAACAAGTATCGACCCATGTGGCCATGTTTCATGAAATAAAGATAAGAGAGATGGTCAGTACCTCCTCAGAAGAAATGGTAATTATCTGCTCATCTGACCCAGCCACAGGATCAGATATCTTGACATCCACACCAATTCCATTTTGGAGTAAATCTACTATGCCATCTGACTCTCCAAAAACACTATCAACCTTGTCAATAGGGCATAGTATTCGAAACACAAGATCCTCACCATAAAGAGGCTGTGTACTGTCAGCCATAGGAGCAATCCCAGTTTCAATGAAGCCAGATGGACGTGAGGAATAATTATTGCCTCTGTAATTCGTAGTAGACATTCGTGAACCAAAAGTCAACCCATCCATTGATGATCGACGTGATGCATTGTTTATGTGTGGAATATAATCATTGTCAGGGAAAAACTGCTCTGGTGAATGCATTCGTCCATGGAAATGACTGCGGTCACGATGCTGACTCTCCCTTAAATGTGATGAAATAATTGCTATAGCATTTTTTACAGCATTCACATCACCTACGACCTGCATGACAAACAACATTAGATAAAATTACCATATCATAAAGTAACTTTAACTTGAATATCTTCCACCAGATGGAAATTAAGAGAGAAAATTCGAAGTTCAAACTGAATATGCATAATAGATTTTAAACCAGATAACTCATTTATTGTAGCAAAACTACTCCTAATAGATAGCACCATCAGGAGCATTATTCTTGCAATGCAGCATGAAAAGTTAGATACTACTTAAGATACATGGATCTGAACTATTCAATTTTTTTGACCCATTTGCAGCTCAGCTGCATGGATTACCTAGACCCAGACTGCTTTGTCAGCAATCACAGATAGATGGTTCAGTAGCAAAATGGTGTAAAATGGAAGATGATAATAGACTAACAGTCATGTAGCATTCATATAAATAATTGATAATCAACAATATGCGAAGAATACTTGTAGAACTGCTGGGATAAAATCAAAAGAACTTGCATCTTATAAGGATGATACATTCAAATAACAAAGAGCATGACATTGAGCATTTAAACATAAAACATTATGTGCAAACATAATAGCTTTCAAATCAACAATATATGCCAACAGTAAGCTATCATTAGAAGAAAAAGTAAATTGCACACACATTCCTACTGCCCAAGAATCCAAGTATCTACAAAAAGTACATACAAATTGCACTATGCATAAAGCAACAACTTGAACAAAATTGAAGACACAACAGATTGACCAAAACACACATGCATGCAACCAAAAGAGGGAAAAGAGTTTGAAATTCCCAAGTAGTTGAAGTTATTCTTATTTGAAACAATATACCAGCTCAAATTCATCAAGTAAATCCGTAATAAAACCTTCTGAGGATCTTAACCCTCTTTAGTTCAACAGCAGAGTAGATGAAAAGAAGATGTTTGTTCTGGCAAAGGGCAAATTGTTTAAAATTTAGAAATCGGTTAATCAAGCAGCACTTACACCGCTGCCAATGGCATATACTAGTAATTAGCTTCTTAATATACAGGTAGCTTCTTAATACATAGTCGTCCAGGTTTCTCTAAGGGAAAAAGCAATGCAAGTAGACCACACTAGTAACTCCTAAAATCCACGAGTAGCATTCATTCAAACCAAGATTTTGGGTTCAGCTCAAGTGCTAAACAAAACCAAATCAAAACTTGAAATTCCTTAATCAATATATAAACATTTAACCGCCCAATGATTCCCATTAAGCCATTGCATTTAAACATATCATATATTAAAAATCCCATGCATCAGGATTTAGTAACTTCCCCCATTTTTTTGTGCATAAAATCCAAATCTAAATCCAAATGCAATTGGTATCAGACCTGAACAATCTCCTCAGACATGGAAACGCAACGGGGCAGCGTATGGTCTCTAGGTAGAATCCTAATCTGAGTCTTTGTTTCAATTCTCATTTGCTCAATAATCTTCCCTCCTTTCCCCAATAAACACCCCACATGCATCCTCGAAACCACCAACCTCGTCACCACCCTATTCCCTCCTCCTCTCACCACCCCTCCGTAACCCTCCTCCTCCTCTCCTCCGCCACCAAACCCAAACTGCGAATCACTCTCCAGAATCCTCTCATGTATAAGGAACAACGCCTCCTGAGCAGGCGAAAACGACGGCATTCTCCCTTCAGGGTCACGGCGGCGCGTGTCGGATATCTCGATAATGCGTTCTTCGTCGCCGGGAATCAGCTCGTGGACGTTGATCCACGCGCCGGTGTGTTGCCTTATGGACTTGATAATGCTACCCGACTTGCCAATTACGCCCCCGGCTTTCTCATCGTGGCAGAGAATGCGGTAGCTCGTGGTTACCATTAGGGAAGAGTCTTGTCCGCCACTGCTGCCACCTTTATTCTGAGGTCGACCGATGTTACCGTTGTTGTTGGGATTGTTGCCACGGTGGCGCTGACTATTGGGTAGGTAGTGATGGTTGTTGTACCGAGGTTTTGTTCTACCCATGGACTCTCCATCATAGTCTTGGTCGTAGTAATAGTTCCTCTTGGATCTAGATCTCTCCATCCAAAAATACTTTACTCAAAGCTTTTTTTAAGGTTCTGAACTTTCGATTCAAAAAGATTTCAATTTGTTTCTTTTGTCAATGATTCGCATGATGCTGACGAATGACGGTTCTGCTCCTTGTCATGGATCAGGTCTAGGGTTTTGAGAGTAGCAAAGCAACATTTACGCCGATTATCAGTCTGACTGTCCCTTCAGTTCTTTTCAGGTTGTTTCTCGGGAAATTTTGTGAGAAAATGTAAAACCTAACCGGAGATGAAGAATCTGAAAAGGCAGACAGCTGTTGGCAGAGTCGTACGGACTACGCTCAGCAGCTAAGGAATTTTACGCTGGATGCTTTGCTGTCGTGGGACATATATATAAACGACTTCAATTTCCGGTAAACATGGTTCTAACGACGTCGTCTGGAGATTCTAGTTTTGTTTTTGGGAAAATTTGCATTGACTAAAACACCCTTTTATTAGTTTCACTTTTTCTTTTTGATCTTATATACAAATTAATTTATGGTTGTTAGAGGGGACTGAATGGCCATTAACTAATATATAACTCAATGGTTAACTGGAAGAATATCAACTAGTCTGTCAATGAAGCATTGCTACACATCTTTAGAAGTGTGTTAGCATTAAAAATTATGCATACTTTAACGATGCTTATGAATTATAATTCATTCTTTGTTTTACCCCTTTTTTACTTTAATTTGCTTTTTATCGTCTATGATAATGTTTGATATATAAAATGATAAATAAAATAAGATGATAATTATCTTATATTATATTTGATTTATATTTAATTAAAAAAATATGATTATAAAATGAATTATCATTTTCTTAATATAAGATGATTCAATTTTGAAATAAAAAAAAAATTATTTTTAATTTATGAGATTAAAGTTATTTGTCATATCATACCTTAAAAATTACATTAATAATTTAAATTATATATAAAATCACATTATTTAATATAATTTTATTTATGATATTATTTTATTTTATCTTATCATAATCTCATCTATCAAATATATTTATGTCTCTTAGAGCATAATCTACTTATACTGACAAGGAAAGTGTCCATATAAATCTCAAAAATTAAAAAATATTCCTCAAACACCTTTAAATTTTTTTAAACACTTTTTCTGTTTCACGAAATTGATAAGATTTATATATACATTATAAATTATTTTTAAAAAAAAATCCTAAATCCACCTTTGCATTAAATCCTCGAAAATCAGCTTCAATGCGTCTTCAGTCCGAGGAAGACAACTCCAAAGACATTGAAGAGTACCCAAGCAAAAGTAAAAGACTCCTCAAAGCATTGCTTAGTCGTCGCAAATCAGAGAAAGCGGAGATGAGATGCTAACTATACACTCAATTTGGATGAATACAGAGAAAAAAAAATGATAAGAGGGCCAACAAAATGGACACAGAGATAGAGGCAAAGAAAAAAGGGCGAGTCAAAGGAAGTGAGGAAAGACTCTGGACGTGCCTCTTCTCTTCTATCTTCTTAACTAGCAAAAGTTTGGAAACTCTGATGGGTTTTCATCAGTTGGAAGATCAAATTGAGTAGTTGGGATAAAAATAACTACTTTTCATTCAAGTGAGTCAAGATAGTTCTCTTCATAGCCTAGCCATTTCTAGTATAACACAATTGATACAGGTTTGGAAAAAAAAAAGGGGCATTTGGCATAGCTTCCCAAAGTTACATGTATGAAGTATTTTTAAAGCTGATCAACACACATAAGAAGAAACCTACAAGCTAAAGTTACATTCTAATTAATGTTCCATGTATATCATGAAGACTCCAAAGATGAAATACGAAAAAAAAAAAAACATTAATGCCAAACTATTGCTAAAATCCACAGCATTTATAGCCAAATTGCGATAATCAGACCTCACAATTCCATTCCTGGCCCAAGTTCTTCAATTGTTTTTGAGGCAAGTGTGAGTACATCGACAAAAGCTGAAAACGATGCACGGAGAAACCTTGCTTCTACTGCTTCAAAGTGCCTGATCATTTCAGAGTGGAGTTAGGAAAAGGCATTAAAAGTAATAAAGAATTGAACTAAGAATTGTTTCAGGACACAAGGAAAAAACTTAGCAGCAAACAGAAAAGAGGATCTAGTTAGCTCATATACTAAATGGGTTGAATGAGTTTTCCCACTGGATTGCCGAAATCATCCTATCAAGATGTCCAATTAAAAGCTAAGATCAAAATTTTGGCATTTGTATTTAGGAAGGAAAAGGCGAAATAATCTGAGAACAATTTTACCCCTTGAAGTTTCTTGTCCCGTATACTTTGGATACCATTTGTTGGATTATGCAACAAGAGACAAGCATTTCCCATCTCTTAACACATCCATTCTAATGACTACAACTCAAGATTGAGGCACCACCACACCACAAAGTCATTATCTTGAATTTTATGAGGTTGTCAATTTTGATAGTTCAGTTGATCAGCAGAAAAACCTGATAGTTAGAAGTTCATGGACTAGGGAAAAACAGGGCCAAAAAAAAATCATTTTCAAACATTATGGCAAATATTTGTAAGTATGGAACCCAAAGCTAAATTAAGCCTATTTCAAATAATTAAACAAAAGGTACCAATCATGCAATTCCTATAAAAGAAGAGTTTCAAATCAATCATTCAAAGAAAATTTTTTGTTCAAACTAAAGAAGGTAGTTGGAACTAGTGATTACACTGACAGTTTCCCATCAGAGATTGACATTTGCCTTGTCACTTTGTCAGGTTGCAACTGCATTTGAAAATGGAATCAAATTTAGAATCTGCTCAAAAAAACAACTATAGAAGTTATGCCAAAAGAAAAGAAAAAAAAAAGTATTCAGTATCATTGAAAGTTGAAACATTACCTCCTTATCAACAACCAATGCAGCGTAGACAATGGAAGCATTCTCTTCAGACTCAAAATCTACCTCCAAATCGCTGCAGATAAGCAAAAATTCGTTCCTAGAGATATTACTAATGAGTCCCACGTTATGAAACAAATCCACTTAACTGAAACAAAAAAACAGAAGGCAAAGCTAAAACCGAAAAATTAAAAAAGAAACCGCACACAAGAGCCAAGTAACTTTAAGTGCCAAAGAATACCCATACCCCATGGAATTCTCAAAGAAGCAAAGGAGAGAAAGAGAGAACATTACCAGCTGAATTTCCATTGGTTTTGGGAATCTAACAAGTTCGAGACAGCAGCCATGTGTTGTCTTCCCAGCTGGAACTGCATCGGGAGAGGTGAGAGACTCAGCTAAAGAGAATCAACAGACAAAAGGGTGTATGGCTTTAGCTTACGTCAGGGAAGAAAGAAAGAGAGCAGTTGATCCAGACCAATCAAGGCCCATTTTGTTGATTTTAAAGCCCAAAATTTCGATTATGCACGAACCGAGACCGACCAAGAAATACTTGTGATGATAAAACTACAATACGTAAACCATCTTTATAAACCATCTGAATTTGGCAATGATAGTTGCATATCACCCAACATGCACTGGTTTTCATCTAAACTGACGTAGCTGGTCCTTCCTCAGTGATGGTTGCTAACATCAGAGAAGCCTGTCTGAAATCTCCAATCTAAAGATGATAGACAAAAAACTCTAGAGAAGGAAGTTGCCCCTTTCCGAAATCCTTGGTTTGTGGTCGTGGAAGATCACAATTTTCAATATGCTCAAGTGATTTTTGAGCAACCATGGAAGCCAATTCATCTTTGTCAGTCATGCGCCACCAAGGTTCAGTCTTCTCGGCTTGCACTAACTGAGATTCAAAATCAGAATAAAAAGCTGTTCGTACATTAAGCAGTTGTTTTCCAATCCTCTTAGATGATCATCCAGATACCAGGACTCCTCCACATTCCTATTAGGTTCTTTTTGTGCATTGGTATTGAGTACTCTACTGGATTCTTCGTTTATAACATCACGGTCACTTTTCACACATTCAGCATAGGCCTTCCCTGACTCCACTGGCAGCATTACTTGGTGTTAAATCAGAATCCAATCTTGATGAAGATGAAGATGAAGGTGGACATCCAGATAAACTGGGCGAAAGAGGTTTCAACTGGTTAGCTTTTGAACAATCATAGGCCTTTTTCCAAACATTAAATAACTATAATGCAAATCACAATCTTTGTTCATCCTGAGAGAATTGCCCGTCCTTTTATGCCCCCAACAGCAAGCATGAATATTAGTTATCAAAATCTTCACCAATTGTCATGTACATCCATTTTTCACTTTACAAAGTACTAGCTTGTAGGTATGTGTTGATTACGTTTAAAAAAGATCACAAAAAATGCAGAGTAAAAAAAACATGATTAAACTATATATTATATCGTCTATAGTAATAACAATCGACAAAAGTCTCTGGAATTGGCTGTTGCATGTAATTGTCTGTGGTAATATTTAATCTATTTTCCCATGATTCAATTGATGTTCTTTCCTTCATAAAATTTGCTGACTTATGTAACCAAAATTTTCTTCCTGCAAAATATCATTTGACATTTGAAAATATCCACTTACCACAATTTTAATAGTAGAATCAAACACAATTTTGTGAAAGAGGATGATTTTTCTTGTCCTTTAGTTAGGTGAGATACAAATGCATGTCATCCACAAATTTGGTAGAGTAAACAAAATGCTATGCACCAATATAATGCCATTTTGAAGTGGAGAAACATCAAGATTGCCTATTAAAAGAGAAAGGAATTTGGGAGTTTAAGACTATAACATGACACTGATATTCATTCCGCACAATAAAGGGTATTGGTAAAACGACTGCACTGATTTAAGATACGATGATGGGATTAATTCCTTATTCTTTCTCCTTTTTTTTTGAAAAAAAATTCAAGATAGAACCATTGCACTAATCGGTCAAATATAAGTTCAATCGTAAATCGCATATTTTGTGGTGGAAATGCTCCCACCAAGCTGCCAAACGGAGCCTTAGCTGTTAGGTTTTTCCTTTTAATAATACTGTTAGGTTTTTCCTTTTAATAATAGACATTCTTTTATAATTTCGAATGGACAAATTAAGTAAAATTCATGGCATTATTGTTGTAGTAAATTGTATTAGCTCGTATATACAAATCCAAATATAGAATTCAAAACAGAACATATGGAACCCATATTTGAGCTTCACCTTGGTATTATAGGTCCTATATTATTCCTACCACCTAATATTTATCATTCCCTCACAAGCCAATGTACCTTCAAGATCTCCAATGATTCGAGCTATGCGAACCTCAAGACTTCTTTGAACATCCTGAAATAAAGATCTTATATTATCAGAGAAGCGCTTCATGTCAAAGGTGGCTGTCTTGTCTAGCTCCACTCCAATAAACCCAATGGCAATTTTGGATTGAATTTCCATCAACTTTTGACCCGTTGCAACCATGTATCTCTGCAGCTGAAATGTCTCCTCAAGGAAATGCTCAAGAGTTTTAGTTTCTCCTTTACTTTTCGTAGTACTACAATCTCCTTGACTCGTGTCTAGATCATTGTCATGCTGAAAATTCTAGTTAACAACAAATAAAGAAGAAAATGTTCAAAAATTTGCATGGATAAAAGTTGCAGATCACCAGTGAAAGACATTGATATCAGTGGAAGCCGGTAAATTAGAAATTAAGTAATTCGCTTACCATCCGCTTACAGAGATCATCAGTCTTCCCTTGAAGGGACTGATAGCGGCTGACTTGTTTATTTAGCAAAGATATCAACAGTAGAAAGCCTTCCATCCCATTGTCACTGCCTTTCATATCCTCTCCATTTTCTTGCTTTCCTGTTAGTCTTTCAAGCATGAGAAGTTGCTGCTTCAGCCTTTTGATCTTGTAAGAAACTCCAAGAGCTTGGAGATCCATCCTCCAGGGGGTATTTTTGGTTTTACTCAAGGACTGGCCAGGTAATGCTGACTTTTCAACAGAATCAACTACTATTGATTCATTAGTTTCTTTCTGAGGATCAGGGTTGGGATATTCTCTCTCATCTTCAAACTCCTTTTCAGGTGATTGGATTATCAATCTGATGTTTTTGGACTCGTTGTAAGATGGGATTACCTCTTCTTTCTTGGCATGTCTTTCTTGAGACTTATCTAGCAAAGTTGTTTTTGTTTCTTGCTCCTTCTCAGTTGACTTTTTCTTTATAATCTTGAGTTTGGGCCAAAAGGAATCATGTGATAATGCTGGATCATGCAAAGATAAATTTAATAGGTTGGTCTTCTGACAAGTCAGAGGCTTTAATTGTGATGCAAACTGCTCCTTCAAGGAATCCAATTCTTCTTCTCTCTCTAGTAGCAAGGCCTCCAATTTCATATTGTCCTGTCTGAGCTGTGACACATCCTGGTTCAGTCCTTCAACATGGGACTGCAGCCGCTTGGATTCTAGTTCCATGCTCAGCAGACGCCAACGAAAAGCCTCTAACTTCTCATCTTTCAATCTCATTTGTTCTGCAAAGGCATCCAGTTCCAAATGGTGCCTCTTCTCAATTACAGTTTCATACTTTTCTGCTGCTGTTCGAACCCAACCTTCCAACCTCTTGGCATCAACCGTCACTACTTCAAATGCAAGGACAGAAATGGAATAAAAACACAGAACAAGAAAAGAAAATATAATACAGAAATGATAACGATCTTAACACATTAAGCATTTGAATGGATCCCATATACTATTCATACACAATGCTTGGTGATCAAGAGAATTATAGGGAAATTGTTCTTACCCAAGTCCTCACTCCCTTCTGGAGAATGATAATCAGGAAGAGGAGAAAAGACTTCTGGGTTTGTTTTCAACTCTGAATAGTCATATTCCAAAATAATATCAGTCGGCTGCGATCTGGTTTTGCCAGAGTTTGACAACTCTTTGACACCCAAGGAAATATCCAATTTTGCACCAGTTTGGTTAGGAAAAACACCCTTCAATGAATGTTTCTCATGTCTAGACTCAGAGACTGCCCTCCACTTTTCTGTTTCTAATTCACCTTGCTTCTTCTTTGCCTTTGAAGCTTTAGCCTCCTTCAAAAGCAACTGCTTCTCTGCCGTATCCAACTTAGATTTCCTTAGCATTGCGGACAAAATCTTGTCTTTCTGCTCCAAATCCTTGCGCATTTTTGTAATTTCTATGGACAACTTTTGTGCTAATAAAACTGACTCCTCTTTTTGCTCTAGGACTGCATCAAGCTCCAGCTTTGTAGCTTCAACTTGCCTAAAGGCTCGCCCCATCTCTGCTTCAAGTTGCCTTTGATTTGACACAATCTCAATAAAGGCGGTTTTGTGCTTCCAAAGTTCAGTCGAATGCTCCTGAGCTTCGCGCTTTGCGGTTTCTCTCAATTCTTCAGCAACACTTTTAAACTTCATTACCTTTTCTTCTAATGCCTTCCCCTTCTGCTCCATTTCTTCAATCATCCTATCCTTGGACTCCATCAAGAGCTCCATTTCGTTCAATTTTTTATTCAAGTTAGCAATTTCTTCATCTTTCTTTTTCTCAATGACTCTCAATTCATTTATAAGAGCTCCAATTTGCTGTCTAAGTTTCTTCCTTTCAATTAACCATCCCTGCTCTTGAGATGCAAAGATGCCGACAACCTTCTCATTTGCTTTTGCATCTTCATGTCTCCTTTTCTTTAACTCCTCAATCTCTTTCTCAGCTGTCTCAAGCTTTTGGAGAAGCTCGCACTTTGCTAGATTGGCTTCTTCTCTCCGGATTCTCCATACAAGCAATCCCAAGAGTTGAGCACTTCCTTGAAGCATTTTATCCCGTAATTTGGACCACTTCTCATCTTCTTTTTCTGTTTCTGATAGGAGTCTGAGAGCAAAAAAAGCACAAGAAACACCAAAATACATTGAATACAAGCTGTCACTTTTCTCTTCGGAGATAATTAAATATGAAGCAGAGATGGTCTTCTCATCCATTGCTTAGGAATTCGCCTTTTCACCTTTGGAAATGTTAGGTAGAAAAAGGAAGTTAGAAATCAAGTTGAGAGGTGAAATTAATAAGTTAAAAGAAGAAAGAAAACTGAAATTCCAGGCATTAACACGACAGAATTCATACCTATAAAAGAAAACCACTTCTATATATTCATGGCAGTCTAGTACAAATAATTGACCACAAAAGGCATTACAATAATGGAGGAATAATAACACCCTGCATTGTTAGCAACATAAAGACCTTATAAAACTGCACAATCAATGGCAAAATAATGTAAAACTTACAAGAACAAAAGGTTGAAAGGCTTTCTTCGATTCAAACCAGACCAGAAGCTACAACTTCTTGAGAAAACTGTATTAGCCTAGAGAGACCAACGTTGGTTTTCCAAGAAGATCTTTCAAGGGGGCTATCAAAAGTCAACTGCAGAAAATTTGAAGTACGAGTTTGATTTGGAACTTATCCGTTATAAATGATCAGGGAATACCAAAAAGCATGAGTTTTTGCACCTGTAGAAGTCTGCCAAATCAGTTAAAAAGGGCAAAACTTCTACAGAATGGAAGGACTTGTTCCCTGGTTTCAGTGAAAGACTCAAACCTGATAATCCCACTTGCTTCCCATCAACTTTTTCATCTATTCCTCCTTCAGCACTGGTCATGAACCATGACAGAAACGGGACGCAAGAACACTAGATTCCTGGTGGTTTGTCACCATTACTAACAAGGAAAAAGAATTGAAGAAGAAAATAAATAAATCTTCCTTGAAAAACCCTGGAAATATTTTATTATTTCCTGAGTGTCTTTCACTTTTAAAAGTATAAAATTATTGTTTGAAACT